GCCATACCGCTTTCCACAGGGATTGCACCATTTTACACTCCCACCAACAGTGAATAAGGGTTCCAGTTTCTCCACAACCTCGCCAGCATTTATTGCTTGATGTTCTGTTAAATTTTGCTATTTTGACTGGGGTGAGATGATACCTCATAGTTGTTTTAATTGCCAGTTCTTTCAAAGCAGCTTGAATTGTCCTTCATCACTACAGGCTCTTGCTCATAAGTTGTTTAGTGAAATTCTATGTCTGTGAATTCCTTTTGGTGCAATGACTCTGTATACTCTTTCCATCTTTTAATACTTCCTGGATCATTTCATATTCTGCCCAAAACATCCTTAAGTATTGCAACTCGAGGCTTGAATTTGTTCTTCAGTTCCTTGAAGTTAAGAAATGCTGAGCAAGTTTGGCCCCTTTGATTTTTCTGACTCCAGCTGTTTGCACATTTTATTATAATACTTTGTCTTCTCGCATTACCTTTTGAATTCTTCTGTTAAGCTCCTCAGTATCTTGATTTCTTCCCTTTGATTTGGCTTCTTGGCGCTCTAGTGCAATATTTTATATTATTAAAGTATAGATTCTGAAGCTTCATCTGACATACTTTGGATATGTTTCAAGGAGGGACCAGTCCTTGGAGAAGGATGTCATGCTTAGGAGGGTAGAGGGACAGTGCAGGAGAGGAAGAAAGAACCTTTATGAGGTGGATTGATTGAGCGACTGGGGTAATGGGGGTAAGTGTGTCAGAGACAGTGAGACTGACACAGAATAGAGCAGGGTTTAGGGCTGTTGTATGTAGGGTCACTGTGAATCACAGGTGACTCAATGGCATATAATAGCAACAACAACAGATCTGATAGTAATGATTTTGATTTTTTATCTTTTCAGTTCTTCTGTCATTGTTTTTTACTGAATTAGTAAAAATATTCTTTCTGATTAGGCTAAGAGAGAATAAGTAGGATTTAAGAAATCCTTTCTTAGATATGTTAATTGTTAGGTGTCATTATGTTAGCTACAACTCATAGTGACCCTAACGTTGCCCTGTCTTGCTCCAACCTCATCATCTCTCTCTCATCATCCTCAAGCCCATTGCTATAGTCACTATATCAGTCTCTTTTGTGAAGAATTTTCCTCCCTTTTTCTGATGCTTCATCTTTCCCCACATGGTTGATTGTAATTTTCCAAAGACTTGGTCGCTCCTGACAACACGATCAAAATTAAAATTACATGGCATCAAATTTTTACAACTTCAGTATTTACTTAATTCAAAGGATTAAACATACACAGTTTCTGTTTTCTAGGAATTAGAAGAGAAATGCTTGATGTTAACAAAATGCTGTATGAAAAAAAAGCAATTCTAACTGAGCCTTGAATATTTATATCTGCATATTTGGTCTGTATGTTATTAGATCCAGTGTACCTTATAGGAAAAGATAGTGAAATTTTATTTCACTGGCTTTGGGCATATTTTCAGGAAGAATCAGTCCTTGGAGAGAGACATCCATCATGCTGGGATTGGTAGAGGGTCAGCTAAAGCCTCACCACAGTGAGCTTGAGCACAGTGACAGATCATCAGGATGGTGCAGGAGTTCAGATAGTTGTTCATAGGGTTGTAGTGATTCCAACTAGACTCTCTGGTATCTAACAAAAACTTAAATTAAGTGTAATGTATAGTAGTAGGGCAGTTAAGTAGATTAATGAAGTTTCTATTTTGTAGTAATCAAAATATTAGAAACAGCTTAATTTAAAACTTTGAGGATAGAAGAACCTTTATTGATTTATTTTTATACTCAATATCTTAGTTCCCATATTTAGAAACATATTTCCAGAAATTGTTGTAATAATTGCCTTCAGAACCAATATTGTACTAAATTAATCAAATTAAATTTTTATACTATATCCAAAGATGCATTTAGGAAGTAAAATGGAATCTGGAGATACAGATTTAGTCTTCTCTGCTACTAAATAGCATGTTCAGAATACTTTATTTACCTTTTCTTGATTATTATAAAATCAGGTGATTATATTAGATGATTTTTATACCCTTCATTTTAGAGGTTGAGGAGAAAAGGTGATTAATAAAATAGCCTCTGAATAATAAAAGTTTTCTGGTTTTTATTCATTCATGTAAGGTACGTGTTTGCACAGTAAGGTGAATGGTGGACTTAATATTTTCCAAACATTTTGTTAGAACATTTCTGTACTCTGTATTAACATAAGGGAGCTCTGGTGGCCTAATAGTAAGGAACTGCACTGTCACCCCAAAGACAACATGGTTCAAATCCACCAGCTGCTCAGCAGGAGAAAAGTGGGCAGTTTCTTCCTGTGTGATTTAATGCCTCTCAAAAACCACTGGATGGTCAGCATATGAAAGATTTGTCTAATTTATCCATTTTAATTTAAATTTTGTGCATAGTTAACTAAAAACACATAGTTAACTATGCACAAAATATAAATTGAATTTAAATGTTTAATAACAACCTTGTCATGGCATCTTGCTGTTGCTGTTAATAGTCAAGCATTATAACCAGTTAATAAGCTAGTTATCTCTTGTATTTATACAATGTATAACTGTTGAAACAGTCTGGTTTGTTTATAACTTTTCTTTTTAAGTTATATTCTTAAATTCAGTGTTCAGGTAATAGGATTTTTCATCACGAGTACATTGAATTTTTCAAATTATTTTAATTATAAATTTAATGATACTGATAGTACTTTATCAAAGTGTTTTTCTTGCTGTCTTTCTATTAGGTGAGTGTGGTCCAAGATTCAATAAATATTTCAGGACATACTAATACAAATACTTTGAAGGTACCAGAATGTCGACTAGCAGAAGATTTAGGTAATCTCTGGGAAAATACGAGATTTACAGATTGCAGTTTTTTTGTAAGAGGACAAGAATTTAAAGCTCATAAGTCTGTGCTTTCAGCTCGTTCCCCAGTTTTTAATGCAATGTTTGAACATGAAATGGAAGAAAGCAAAAAGGTAAACATAGTTTAAAGGCTTAATATTTAGTTTGCACAAATATAAAATAATGGAATGTGAATCTCAAAGGTTACGTGCCTTCATTATTATACTATTGTAATCAGAACAAAATTATATTTGTCATACAGTTATAAATGGAATGGAAAATAATTAGAAATAAAGTAGAAAGATGAAAAAGAGTATGTTCTTACAGTATAATAATTATAGTCCATTGTGGATACTTAGTCATTATTCCAAGTAACAGCTATTTTGATGCCACTTGTAAGTAAAATGTGTGGGTAGTTGTTTAGAAGGGCTGTTCTAGACCACTTTTAGAAGGACCGCTCTAGACCATAGGTATTTGAAAGATCTATTGTTAAAATGGATATTTACCCTTTCTAGGCTTGATTTTGTCATTTTCCCCCTAGGAACAAAAGTAATGTCTTACATTCTTTGCATCACTAAAACATGACTCGCCTACTTCTTTAGACATGTTATCTTTCACCCGTTATCATGAAATTTAGTCAGGTTAGAATTAAGGATTCGGAGCCTCAGCTGGTTGCATAATGTCCATCTCGATAGCTCCAGAATGTTTTCACGTGACTCAGCTGTGTTCTTTCTGCTGAACTAGAGTCCACACTGAGTAAAGCTGAGTTCTTTCCTCTGATAATTAGTCTAGGCAAGTGCTATTCAGTTTTCTCAAAACTTTGAGTTGGGGAAATAGCATTGTTATCAAAAGTTACTACCTGAAAAAGTGCAGAAAGATTTGTTATTTAGTGTTAGAGATTTAGCTTCACTGATCTCAGTCAAGACAGCAAATACAACGAGGAATTTTAAAAGCAACTAGTTACCTTTGGATTTGAACATGTCTCAAGTAAGCATGCCATTTTTGCAAAAGAGAATATTTTGAGATAAAGCTTCTTATATTGGCTGAAGGACCTGGTCTTTTGTTTAATGTTGAATAAAACAGTTGTAGGATTTCAGATGTCACAGTAGAAATAAGGAATGAATTTTAATTAGCTCCTGTGCTCTACTGAATTTTTTTGTTGGCTTACAGTAATTTTTTTTTTTAAATTTCTTTAAACTGCGAAGTTGAGCTTACTTTCCCACATGACAGCATTTGGCCAGTCCAGGTGTCGGGGCAAGGCATTCTGGCTAGTCTTGTTCCCCCTTACACTGTATCTCCAACTCCTCTTAGAGCTGCCTGAATCTCTTTGCCTGCTTAGCCGACTGAAAATGTGTCTTCTTTAGTTTTGTAATAAAGTTTAGAAATATATCTATGTCCTTTTGAGTTATAAAGGATTTGAGGCTTTTATAAAAAATTTGCTTTAGTTCATTCATGTCTCTGTGGGTTTTTGTTTCCTTTAACTGCTACATTTCTGTGTTTTGTTTTTAATACCAGAATCGAGTGGAAATAAATGATGTAGATCCTGGTGTTTTTAGAGAAATGATGAGATTCATTTACACAGGGAAAGCACCAAACCTTGACAAAATGGCTGACAGCTTGTTGGCAGCTGCAGACAAAGTAAGTAATTAGGTCATAAGGAACTGAAAAATGTCTCAAGCTTTCTATATATATATACAAAGCCATCATCAAATGAAAACCCTAACTAACAGGAAATATTGAATGAATTTGTACTCTTTGTAAATGACAAGAGTTCTTTTGGCTTAGGGAGTTTTGCTGCTGACCCAAAGACAGCACATCTCTTATGGTTAGAATTCACTGCTAAATGGGAAAAAGATAGGCAGTCTCCTCTTGTGCAGTTTATAGCTTCAGAGAACCTACCGGGTTGTTTAGCTATGAGTTGGTTTGGACTCAATAGTAATGGGTTTAAGTTTTTTATTTGTAGATGACTCTTGAGGATTTTATGAAGTATTATACTGTTGTATGTGCCATACAAGTACTGTGTATAGTAGCTCTGAACCCTCCATCCTTCCAAGTATGATGTCCTTCTCCAAGAATCGGTATTTGCTAGCAAGATGCCCAAAGTATATTAGGGGGAGCTTCAAAAGATTACCTCCAGAGAGCAAATTGGTTCCAACTCTCTGTAGGACAGATCTGTTTGTTGTCTAGACAATCTATGGCATGTTCAAGACACTTCTCCAGCACCACAACTCAGAGATATCAGTTCTTCTATTGTCCTTCGTCATTGTACACCTTTCTGCTGCATAGTAAATAATTATGAAGACCCTGACCTGGATTAGGTGGACCTTAGCCTCTAGAATGATATCTTATTTTTAAAATTTTATTTTATTAATTTTAATGAACATTTACAGATATTTTGGATTTCCATTAATTCATTGTTGCACTTTTCTCCCTGCCCAGCCCTACCCCCCAGTTCAGTCTTCTCTTTGAAAAGTAAAAGAAAATTTGTTTCATTGGTATACAATCCCCCTGCACCCTCCCACCGCCCGGGTACACTACACTATGCAATCTTAATTCAGGACTCTTGTAATAAACATAATATCCTAATTCCTTTTGTTTCTCACTATGAGGCCTTAGCCTCAGGTGCCATACCTGCTAGTCTAATTTGATTGTGCTAATGCGAAACCTATACTTGGACCAAGAGGAAGTCATCAGAACAGAGCAAGGAGACACTGCATGGTTCAAAGTCAAAAAGGGGGTCCGTCAGGGTTGTATTTTGTCTCCATACCTTTTCAATCTGTATGCAGAACAGATCATCCGAGATGCTGGGCTGTTTGAGGAGGAATGCGGCATCGAGATTGGTGGAACAATCATCAACAACCTGCATTATGCGGATGACACAACACTGCTTGCTGAAACTGAGGAGGACCTGAAGCGCTTGCTGCGGAAGGTCAAGGACTGCAGCCTTCAATATGGATTGAAGCTCAACATCAAGAAAACAAAGATTCTCACCACTGGGCCAATTGG